GAACTGCCGGCGATTGGCAATAACGGCAAACACAGTTTGTTAAAATGGGAGAAGATGCAAACATTGCAGACAATAGGCATTACATGTGTTGCACAAAAAGAATGAAAGAAAGTCATATTAGAGAACGAGAGATGTTCAGGCCATGCCTACTTTCTTACTTCTGCACGGCTTACTAATTATGGCGTGAACAGGGTTCTCAGGTTGCCTTCAGGTAGAGAGGGGCGGAGCCTCTTAATTCGATGTTGTGTTCCTGGGCAGACAGGGCCTCAGTATTCAAGCTGGTTTCTCATTCTCTATCTTGTCAAGACTTTGGTTTGTGGTCTTTGTTTAGCCTCCACAACACCACACACACACACAGTATCATTGCAATGAGCACTGATTTACAGACTGCAGATTCTTTTATTAGGATGTTTTGCCTTAGTTTTCAATAAATGATTATTGTTTAAATACATTTATAACTGTGTGGTCCCCCTGCTCACTGAGCCTGGGTTGTGACAAGATGTTTTCTTGAGAACTTGACTAAAGACAGGCAAAAGAATGCTAAACAGATTTTTACAAGTGAAAGTTTAGTATGATCAGAAAATTCATGTTCAGTGAAAGTCAAATACAGAGTAAGTTATTGTTTGGGATGTATATGACTTGTAAAGAAAGCAGTTTTATGATGTAAGTCCTGTCTTCATATGTGGTCCATCTTTTCTTTGACAGCACAATAGCTTTACCTCACACGCTCCATGTGGATGGTCGAACTTGCTAAAAGCCACAAGAGTAACAACGGAGTGAGAAATGCCAAACAAGAGACAGAAACAATCGAGCGAGGGCAGAGAAAAGGGGATTGTTGTGATTAAAAGACAATTATCTGTGCACATCTACTTCCCAGTGTTGTGCGGTGTCAGGCTCGAGCTGAGCTGTTCTGCCCCAGAAGGTCTCGGGAGACAAAGGCCACTGTGTCAGGAGGAGGAGAAGGAGGGTGGGGGGGTGGTGGGGGGGTGTTAACAAGTGTTGGGGTTTCATTACGCTGTCACGCATGCAACTGTGTGAACATCCTTAATGCAATGTTAAGGCTCAACGACATGTGTACTAAACTGTACAGGAGAAACTGACTCGTTTCCCATTTGGATGTGAAGTTGCCCCAAAAACAACCAAAACGGCAACTTTTTAAAGTTCTTCCCAGACCTTAAAAACCAGCGTTATGTAAAACCCACAGGCAGGAAAATCCCAATTTCATAATTTATATCAGGTTTCCCAGGTTACCTTTTGATAAACATTACGAGGGGAATATGAGTTTAATATCAGGAGGGCTGAAAATGTTTAAGTTATAGTGATGGCAGAGCTGTAGGGAAAGAAAACTAAACTGTATTTGTACTTTGTTGTCTGCGTTTGTATGCAAAGGCAGAAATGTGTCTTTGACTGCAAATAAATGCCCACCCATATATTTAAAACACAAAGTGATACATTCAAACAAGATGGCACATTAAAAAAACATAAAACACACTTTAAAACTATGAATTCATAATGGAAACAGTAAAAAAAAATGAAACCTAACCAAACTGTGACATCATCCTTTATTTATCCAGGAGAGAAACCTGATTAAGAATCTCTTTACGAGTGTGTCCTGGAGGACAGGCAGCAGCACAGATAAAAATAATCATTGAGCTTTATTTAAGTCCTCACAGAGGTTATTGAAGGTGACCCTCATTTACAATGATGCCGAGAATACATACATGAATGACAAACATAATGAGTTAAAGCTACCACAGTAGATAGAATAAATAAAAGAGCAATAAGAACAGAATATATATTGTAAATTAAGAACAATTTAAAAGCGTGAAATAGCTATAATTAGTCGACATATAAAATCAATTAAAGCAGTTACAGGCAAGTGTTGGGCCTTTTGTGTCCATAAGGGAAAAAGGGCTCAATTTGAGTACCAAAAATGTGCTGTACTAGCGCTTAAAGCATTTTTTTTCTTGGTCATTACTGGCATGAGGTACCTGGAGAACCATTGTCTTTAGCATGCTAATGATCCACAGAGGCTTACATTTCAAGCTCCGTCCACCAGAAAGTTTAGAACTGAAGAAGCGTTTCGGAGGATAGATTCAATTCAATTCAATTCAATTTTATTTGTATAGCGTCAACTCATAACAAGTGTTATCTCAAGACACTTTACAAAAAGCAGGTAAAATACCTTACTCTTTGTCTGTTAACATTACAAAAGAGCAGGTTAAAAGACCTTACTTATTACTATAGATGAAACATCTTCAACCAAGTCGAGTTGCCTTTGGATCAAGCCTTACATTTACCATGACCTGGATGACTGAGAACCTACACAGACAAACAGTCTCTCAGTTGAGCGAGTTAAAAAAGGACCACAAAGTTTCTGACTGACGCAGCAGTACAAACGTTAGGTACAAATAAAGCAGCAAAAATTTCAAAATTGACAACAATCATAAATTAAATATGTCAGGCAGAACATCTACAACCAGACTCATTAAGTTTCAGGTCTTTTTTAAAGTCATTCAAAGAAAAGGGAGCAGCAAACCTTTCCCGCCTTTTCCCCCCCCAGTTCAGTTCTGACCTTTTGAGCAGACAGTAAGAACGATCTCAGCTACCTCAGGTATTCTGTTTGATGAAGGTCACAAGGTACGAAGGGAAGCAGACCTAGCACAGCCTTGTAAATTAGAACACACTAGTGTTTCTCTGTGTAGCCAAAGAAGACCACCCAACACGGTCATACAACAAACAATGACGATTCATGATTGGTTCAAGCTGTGACACAGTTGAGATGTTATCAAACCAAACTTGGTGCACCAGCTGTAGCTTTGAGTGAGTGTAGATAAAACCTTTAATACTAGTGCAAGCGTCAGAAGCATTAATATGACTTGGTTAATTTATTCCTGTTCAGCAGACACTTTACTGAACTACACCACAGACGGTTGATCTAATTACAAAAAGACAATAACTGTTTGGTTCTAAAACAGTATCCTCGTATTTGACAGGATTGTTTGTTTAATGTTAATTTGAATAGGGACGAGTGTGAAGCAGTTCAACAAATACCACACACTGCAGAATTTATATCCAGAGGTAATCTGAAATGCTGTTCGGTGCTTCTTAATGACCAAACTGAAGCATCAGAGATGTCTGCATCACCATAAACCAAAAGCAGTTTACATCTTTACATCTGTAGCTGGATAAAAAGAACAACAAAGGTATTCAAGTTTGACATAATCATTACATTTACAACATCTAGCCCTACCAGTGTGTTGACGTCATTTTGAATAATTGTAATAGTGAGTGTCTTACCTGTAATTACTGTTCATGTCAAGAACTCTGACACCTAGCGTTTGAAATCGGTACTGCAGTCCAAATTCAAAACATTGGAAAGAGCTGTCTCCCCCCGCCCCCTCCTTCCTAGAGTCGATGTGCACGTAGGTTGCCATGTCATGGACACCAAAGCTTCAGTGTTTAGCCAGCTCTACATCGGTCTTGAAACCTTTCCATTTTGAATCCTCTCCATTTTTTTTTTAAAAGCATCTGCAATATTGGTCCTAGTTTTACCACGTTTTTGCTCATGGAGCTTATTAGAAACATACAGAGGCTTTTTAGGTCGGGTACAATCAGTTTCTAACTGAACCAGTTCACTTGGCCCCTCGCAAAACAGCCGTGTGGGGGGGGCCAAACTATTCAGGACCCGAATAGAAACTTAGGAGGACATACTGGCTGCTGCATTGTTGTCAGAGATGCCAGCACTTCAGCATATCATGTTTCCTTAATGTCTAATGATATAAGGTCATTTTATGATTTAATTCAGTAAATACATATTGCTCCTTTTAAAGTTGTGATCATAACTAGGGAAGTAATGTTTTCTGATACTTTTGATTGAACTAAAATATTCCTTTTGGTCCATATTTTGTATTCCAGCCCAAAAAAGCCACAAAATTTATGATTCAAGGCGTTTTGCCTTTATTTGAAAGGACAGTGGATAGAGCAAGAAACCAGGGAGAGAGAGAGCGAGGGGAATGACATGCAGGAAAGGCACCACAGGTCGGACTTGAACCCGGACCACCTGCTTGGAGGACTTCAGCCTCCATACATGAGCTGCAACCTAACTGCTAGGCCATCTGCACCCAGTTTCTTGTGTTTTAAAGTTCTTAAGTTGTCAAAGAACTTTGTAAACGCTTGTTTTTAGAGGATCAATATAAACAAAGTTATTATTATTATCTTCATTTTGCTGTTTATTACTGCATTTCAATCATGGCAGAGCAACCTGTTGAGAGGTGTTTTCTACGACTGATTGAATAATCAGTCTATAATTAAAAGTATTCTCCATTGCCCTATGGAAACGACGGGATTTGTATACAGGAAGTAAAGCAGATAGGTCACTTCTTTATCAAGACACTTTATGTTAGTTGAATTAGGATTCTTTTTTGGCAGTAAATGAAAATGATCTGTACTGAACGCTGTTAAAACACATCTTAAGTGCGATATGCAAAACAGTTTTTAAGTTGTCTCTGAAGTGTTGACTAGAGTGATTCTGTGTTTAATTTACAATTTGGTTCCCTTGCTACTGTCTCTCATATTGGCCCTATCGGTCTTCATCATCTCGATCTCCCCCTCCCAAACTGACTTCCTGTCTTCTGTCACACTGACCTCACTAAAAAATGTGGATCTGTTCTCCATCAATCCAAAATGATCGAATATGCTCAGCTCCTTCCAGCGTAACCATACAAGCCTGGTTGAACAGAAAGACCCTCGGAGCTCAAAGCCTCACCCATATTTGTTGGGACGAGGGGGAACAGTGTGGCCCTTTGTGGCCCCCGTGTGTATTTATGAATGGCTGAGCCTTGGGGCGAAGCGTTTAGAACAATGCTGCTACACTGAAGGACTCATTTTCATATGGGAGGGGTGATGGTGATGGTGATGATGGTGGCGGTAGTGGTGGGGTGGGGGGTGGGGTGGGGGGGGGGCAGTTTATTCTTCACTGTTGGGGCTTGGTACAGAGAGTGGCGAGAGGTCTTGCTGGCAACCGGCTGAAGTGGTGCTTTGCATGTGAGTGTCAGAGGGAAAAAGGCTGCTGAAACAGGAGCTGCTGAACGCTTGGAGGTCGGCCACGGTCACCTGCACAGGTGAGCGGCAGCGCTTTTTTTTATGATCTGAACTTTTATACCCTTAGGAGCTTTTGAAATTGGAGAGTTTTTTGGAGGAAAAAAAGCAGGAGAAAGCAGATTTGTGCACATAGAACAGGGAACACGGAGAACAGATCTATCTATCATCTATCTATCTATCTATCTAATTTTGTTGGTTTTGATCTTTAAGGTCAAACACCTCCAGTCTGGATGAGTGTGTGCATGTTTGCGTGAGCGTTCAAAGATGAAGTGATGAAGTTAGCGAGTGAAAAGATTGTTGGATGAGTCACAAGTTACACTCAGTTAGGTAATGAATAAGTGTGTGTGTGTGTGTGTGTGTGTGTGTGTGTGCGTGCGCGTGTGTGTGTGTGTGCTTTAATGAATGCATGCATGAGTGAGCCGGTTAGTGTGATGGGTAACTGTGCACACAGCAGTGATTGAGTGTGTTTTTTGTGTGTGTTAAGTGAGTGTGAGTGTGAGTGTGTGTGTTGATGGGTGTTAGCGAGGGCTGCTAAAAGCTCAGCCAATTATTACTGGACTGATTTGTCTGCTTGAGCCATTAGCAATGAGCCGTTCCTGTAATTGCCGGAGCGTATTAAAACAACTGAACAGCTATCTGACGGCAGCGAGAACAGCCTCCCTGTACGCTGCCAACCAAAACTGTTTAACAAGTAATTTAATTATTTGTCTGCTCCATTATACCAGCAAAAGACAGTTTTTCTTGACTTTTTTCAGAGGCCATAGTGTTTCTCTACATCTGCAAATAGAAGATTTATAGTGAAAACTTTAGCAGTGTCGCAGTTTTCAGAAAGGGAGACAAAAGTATTTTCTAAAATCAGAGTTTGAACAAAAGCCTCGAGCTACTGTTTTGGATGTTTCACAGTGGTGACACATTTCAGTTTCAGATTTTGTCCTTCCATTAAAGCTTCCCCTTTTGGCCAGTTGCTGTACTTTCAAAGAATGAGAGAAAGTGTGTAGCAGGTTTGTGTATAAAATGTGACTCATTGTGTAAGGTTGGCGCCATGATGAATTGAGAATGTGTAGTGTAAAACTAAGATTTATTTTTCTTCATTTTCTTGATTCCTAAAATGATTCCAGATTTCACCAGAATCCGACCGGAGTGCTGGCAGATTTAATGCTCACTCTTTCGAGCGGTGACAGCGAGTCAAGTGGAGGGTTTTAGGGAGCGTTGGGATAGGGCCACACTTGATCTGTCTGTGTGGCTGAACAGGTGACCGCTCTGTTTGTCGCCCCCTTTTTGTTGGGAGCGGAAGGGAGCGAGTGCTCTAATGGGAGAGGAGGCCTGTGGCTCGCCATCTGCCTTACTGGGCCGGGGATTCACCGGGTTTGCCAGGTAGAAGAAATGGATCTGCTAACTGAAGCTTACTCCAGAGTCATGCTTACCAATTGTAATCAAATATTCACAAATGCGACCTGTTTTTTTTTCAAGTTGTTTTTTTTAAAATGAGGAAAAAAAAGAAGGTTTAGACCAAATGTAAAGGTGTAAGGACATTCAAGACATTCATACCACCAAGAAACCCGATAAAAGATGTGGACTAACGATTACAGCAGCAGGATCAAAACAAGAACCAGAGGCATTTAAGATCAAATGTCCCCCAAAACCCTGGCATATCATCAACATGTTGCATTAGAAATAATAATTCATGCACCTTGGGTTCGCAAATAGTGTTTGCAGAATTGGTTTTATTTTCTTTAACTATAAGTCCGGTCTGAATCTGTCTCTGTGCCAACGCTCTTCTGCAGAACCTTGGACAGACTGTGGGAATGGATATTGGCTTGTCTCCGTGTTTATGTTTGTATCTCGTGTGCATGAGTGTGTACGCGGCGGGCTGTGCTCATCCCAGCTCAGCGCGCCATGTGTGGGAAGGGGGAGCAGTCATGTTTTAAGACCATCTGCTCCTCTGAGTATTTTCGCTTGTGATGGACCAGCGCGCGTCACAGGCAAACAGCAAAGCACAAGCTGTGAGCGGGCCTGTTCCGGAAAAATTCCTCCAGTTGCTCCCTCGCACAATGGGCAGTGTTCTGCACACAAGGTTGCTATTCTATTTTTTTATCCAAGAGCCACGGCGAAGCCCTTGTACAACAGGCGGCCGCAGACGATATTCACAATGAAAATGTTCTTCTTGGCACAGTCGCTTGTTTGTGTGAGCCTTTTGGGTTTGTGTGAGCAATTTCAATAATGTACAATGACTCATAAAAAGGTGTCGTGGCCTGATTTAGCACAGATGATTGATCCGAAAGCGTGTATCCCTGAAGCGTGATGGAGAATTATGCAATTACGCTGATGTTTGATTACCTTAGATGTTTTTAAAAGAAGAGAAGCTGCAGCACATAAATCAGATGGACAGATGTAGCCTACTCTTATCTAATATCTTCAGCTCTAAACAGAGATTTGCCTTTATCGTTACAAGAATCTTTCTTTTGATTCTTTACTTATTTTTGCTTCTACAACAGTAAATAACTTGACATGTATCTGTTAAACTTGGACACTAACATTGTCTGCTTGTACACACACACACACACACACACACACACACACACACACACACACACACACACACACACACACACACACACACACACACACACACACACACAAACTTGAGTCCTAGCAGGACATCAAGCAGGCCGGCGGGGATTGCAGAGGAGGGTCACATAACTGCACACCCCACACTGAGGACTGTATTGGCATGACTTATGCTGCATGTGTGTGTGTGTGTGTGTGTGTGTGTGTAGAGGGGGTATGGCATGCCACATTTAAACACGTCTCCAGAGCATCAATGCAGCTTTCTTGTCTTCAGCTCCTCTCCAAGCTGTCTACGGAGGGATTCCCTTGAGGTTATTACCGACTCGGGGCGATGCAATCACTTGGCTGGTGGCCTGAAGGCTTTCGCACGCAGTGACTCATGCTACATGTAACAATGAGAGAGTAGGGGGAAAATGTACCACTTGGATAGACAAGTCGCCTTTTGTTACTTTTATATGTAAACTAGTTGGACCTCCAAGTGGATGCATGCTTGTGCACCTCGCCTACAGACATTCCTCTGCAGGAAAAATAGTAGATCTGCATATGGCTGGAAAGATCGATAATCGTGCCCTGAAGGATATTTTGAAATTCTGAAATCTATACGCGTCCAAACATTGGCTTCAAATCCTTGAGTTTAATTATGTGATTTAGGTTAACACATGAACATTTCCAAGATCAAAATCAGTATCAAACTAATGTTAATGTGCAACCTACATAACCATATTCATCTCACGAGTTCTATATTCCTCCCACTCACCATATGTTGATGTTGCACAGACATACTCAAAGTGATATTGAGTCATCCTTCCCTCAACGCTCAACGTTCGCTCTTGTGTCGTCTGTGTCACTTGCATGGAAAAGTTCAGCTCGTGTCAACGTGTTTTGATTTGACCTCAACTGGAAGCGTACGATCAAGGCCCTGGATTCAAGGCCTTGAGACACACGGGACAGCTCATGGCGACGGTGGACCAGAAGAAAGGAATTCTGAGTGGGCCAAAAGATCAGCTAGAGAAATGCCTGAACGCATATTCAAAGCTGCCCACGACGCATGTAAACCAGAGCGCAGACAGACTCCCTCTTTTCCCCTCGTCTCACATCTCTCTTTATCTCCCCTTTCTGTATCTACCCATAGATTCTGACATCCAGGAGTCAGAGCGAGATCTCAAGGAAGAGGAGATTAAGAAGGAGAAGAAGAAGAAGTCAGGACTGAGAGGGAGCAGGATCCTGGTGCCGAGGCTGGTATGAGGCAAGTGTTTTTTGTGCGAGTGTTGAGCGTGTAAGTGTGCACACGTATGCTGAGTGCTCTGTGCCAGCCGTTTGTCTGCTCCATCAATGAGGACGTTGTTGTTGTTGGAGTTGGTGGTGGTGGTGTCAGTGCTCCTGCCTGGCTTCTCCGCTCTATTCTCTCCTGCTGATGCTGATGCACGGCCTGAAAACACTCGCCCTGCTCTTGGCCTTTTGTTGTCGTGCAGATGTCGGAGTTTGACGCAATGGTGTGAAATAAAAAAAAAAGTCAGGATTGTTTAAGCACACAGGCAGAGTCATTATGGGTCGAAATGTTTCAAAATGGGTCGACCTTTAATCTGAAAATTTTGATTTGTTGAGTTTAAGTGTTCTCCTTTATGTTACATCACTAAAAGAAAGCATAACAGCATGCGTGTTAGAATAAAATAAAATTCACCAATAAAATCATTTTTTTATGTTCAGAAAACAACAGATTTAAAAAAAAAGTGCAGAATAAAGGCTGAAACAGAACAGAAAGAAGAAGCAAGATCAAACCCTTAAAGCAGTGTGACCATTGATTCACTTTTTAATTTAGTATAAAAGTTGATAAAATCAATAACTATGGGGTCCTTCATCATTATTTTACACCTCAGCAGCCATCAGCCGACTGATTTAAACTTACTTTAACTTCTCAAATATCTTTAAACCAGTGACATTTTTGCCGTAGGAACAGCATAACGAGCAGGATGATAAATCTCCAGTCCTCTTTGCAGCCTAGAACCAACAGAATTATTTACATTTTTCATACATGAGACTACATGTTGGTCACGGGTTTTCCGGGGGAGGTTGGGACGTGTTAACCACGATGCTCTAAAACACACAATCCACTCTAAGACCTGCCATCTGCACACACCGGCTGCTGCATCATGAGGAGAAGTCCTCTGCTTTCACGTCTGCAATGTGTTACATCCGCATCCAAGTTACTGTCAACACCATAATATTATAGATTGAATTTCTTAGAAAACCAAGTCAGTATTAAGTACAGCAATGTTAAAATGTTTAATATTAACTAAACAACCAACAAAAAAGGTACATTTACGTTATTTTATTTTATCATTAAAAGTAGTGCAAATTGCTGAGTTGCAATATTTCTTACAATTGTTCCTGCCTCAGACTGCAAAACGGAGAGATGAGTAGTTTTACAAACTCTTTGTTAGAAGTGTGCTTACTGATAATCAAATAACACAATATGCGTAGCCAATGCTAAGTCATGAGCTATAAGTAAAAATGAAATAACAGTTGGAGAGTGATGATGCAGTTTGTATTGAAACAAGTTCTGGGGGGTTCTTTCAGTGTTGTTTGTATGGCTGACTGATATGAGATGTTTTGGTCCGAAACGATTTTAAGGAGAGAAAAAAACTGCAGTACCGATATATCGGCCGATATCTTTCTTAGATCTATCTGTAATATTTAGAGACTGATTGATATGGATATACACACACAAACGCTGTCATCAAACGCTTGTGTTAAAGATTCATAACGAAGACAAGATTTTGTTTACAATTGAAGAAAAGCTTTTATTGGTCTGAACAGCAACAGTGCACGGAAACACACATTTTAACTTAAAAAACTTAACAGATATAAATAAAAAACATATAAAATGAATAATAATCCTTAATTGAATAAACCTAGTTGTTGCAGATACCAATAGTCGAGTGTATTGCCAATATCCACCAACAGTATCGGCCGGCCGATTAATCGGTCAAGTTATTAGGTATAGTTTTATGTGTATGAAACTGAGTTATCATATTTTACAGATGTTAAATCATACATTTGTTATGATCTGCTAGAGATTATCTGAAAATGGATACCAGTATGAACTATTTCTTAGCATTACAAAAAAAAAGTTGATTATGCACTAATGTAAATTGGAAAATATGGCTTAAAGGTAGTTCTTCATATCATGGTGTCTGAATGAGCAGTGATGTTTTCTCTCTTTGGTTCTATTATGTAACGTGCATCTAAATGAAAACAATGAAGTAAAGCCACTTAACTTTCTGTGAAGCAATGTGTGAAGAGATAAACCTGAAACAGCTGCTTCCATCACACACACACACACACACACACACACACACACACACACACACACACACACACACACACACACACACACACACACACACACACAGGATTAATGTCATTTCACATAACAACAGATTAAAGTTGAAGCTTAAGTTCAGTAGTTCTTTACTCAATTCAGTGTGAGCATAATGATGCAAACTTACTTTTCTATCTTTGTATGTTCAGATTAGGGTTCTTTAAGTTTTATTCAGTAGGCCTAATCTGAAGTCATCGGAGTACCAAAAGGGACAGAGACAGTCAAAAATAAAGAAAACAAGTTCCTGGTGCACACAAGATTCTCTTCGGTGCTCACCAGAAACTATTCCTTGAGCAGAAGAAGGTATTGCATGCACACAAGATACTTTTTCAGCACTCATGAGAACATTTCGCTTGTGCATATTCTCATGCAGACATTCTCATAAGCATGAGATAGTTTCTGTTGAGCAGAAACATATTTTACATATGTACATATTTTTTCAACCATGTCTCCTCAGGGGCTCTGTAGTCAACTGTATCCTGTCCCTGATTTAAAAACAGCACCATTTTAGCATTCACTCTTTAACTATTTACTTTGACGTTGAGATGATATGATACATCATTGTGCCTCACTGTGAAATGGCTCATTTTTATCGACACACAGAGTTGAAATCGTCGTGACCTCATGGCCATAAGCGGTAATCATGCTTCTGGTTAATGGCAGTTGAAATAAGGATTATGCCAAAAAATCTCTCTCTCTGTTTGGATTCTAAACTGAGAGCCCAAACACAGCAGACACATTTGTAGTTATTCTAGCTTGTGAAAGATCAAGTTAGAAAACTTTTAAAGCAGACTTAAAGATGCTGTGATACTAAATGTTCCTTTTCCAGTTTCATTTAGCTGATTTTCTACTTCTCCGTACAAACGCAGTGGCATTGTTTACATGTGTTGTCACTGAGTATTGTCACGTACTGGTGTATTTCTTGCACAGTAAACACATAGTGTCAGCACTCCACCAATGACGTGATGCATGGTGACTGGAGTTTGGCGTTGCGTCAGAGCTCAGCCAACAGTGAGGCTCATTCAGTGGACGATCCTACGCACGGAGAGCGTATCATGAGTGACTCTACTGAGGGCCAGCAAACAGGTGCTGACTGACGCTCAGCTTGTGTGACTTACTCCGCCTCTGTGCGAGTGAGGGGACTGTGAGTGATGTCATCGCCTGATGGTTGCTGATGTCACTTCATTTTCTGTTACAGAGAAGAAGGCTGTCCGACTGTCTGGGTGTGAGTGAACGCCCTCTAGTGGAGCTGCTGACCAGCTGTCCTGCAGAGCGCCTGTCTGTTTCCAACCATCAGTGTTTTCAAGGTAAAAACATTTTTACACTAGTCTGCAGAAGAAGTTAGACTTTGTGAAGGTAGAGGATGTTTTGTGGAATATTTGTAATTGCTGGATGTCTACTTTTTACAGGGAACAAATTCAACCTATTCTCTAATATTTTGACCTGACGGTTTTGCTTTTAAGATATCATATATCACTGAAATCATATCTGTTCCTTTGTTCCTTTCCTTTATTAAGATTTATTTTTGGGCTTCTATGCCTTTATGCAGTGGATGGGACAGTTGATAAAGTAGGAAATCAAAGCATAAATGGGGGAATAACAAGCGGCAAAGTGGGCTGCTAACTGCACCTTCTGTACATGAGGCATTAAACCTAATCGCTATAGGCAAAATCCCTAATTTATTTTTAATTGAATTCATAATTAATTTATTTCCTTATAAAACATGAGTACTTCTGAATTACACCATGTGTGGACAAATTAAGGACATTCATGTTCTACAAGAGTGAAAAGGAGTGAAACTTGGCTCAACACAAACAACATCATCACCCTGTGGTTTATTACTTCCTGCATTCACAAATCGGCTCACCCCTATTCCCTGGAGACTTTTTACTCGGGTTGTTGCAGGAAAAAGTCTGCAAAGAATCAGGGTGAATGGATTTAGAAATTTGTGTACATCCGTGCACCCAATCTGGACAATGTCGGGGAAATCTTCAGGATGACATGTGTGTGAACAGGGTTTAGAAATTTAAATATCTGGACTTTATAAAAAGTAAAGTAACTTAAAACGAGATCAGAGCCCTCGACCTGATTTGGGTCCGTGTTAAAGTGTAACCTTCATTGCTGCTGAGGAATTTTCATTGCACCGAGAGCATGAAAACACAATATAAGTGACAAAGACCATAGGGCAGCACATAAAAACAAAATCAAACCCTTGATTCTTTTTTTTCCTTTTAAATGCAATCGAATAAATAAAGCAAAACACCACCCATCAATTCACATTTTATTTTGAATTTCATGTCTTAAAAAAATAGTCAAATGAATACTGTAATACCTTCAAATTTCAGCTCTAGGTAGAAATATCTCTCCTTTCTCTCATGTCAGTATAAAGTACCCTGAATTTCAGTTTATTCATCTTCCATATTACTTTGTTCTTCTGACATCAATATGAAATTTCATTCATCTCACATCTTCTTCTCTTGATAATCTCCTTTGTTTTTCTCTGTTGTCAGGGTAACAGAGAGACAGAGAGAGAGAGAGAGAAAGTGCATCACAGTGTTTTTGTAGATAAATATGTCTGACTGCTATGTGTGACTCATGGCTGCAGAGTTATATCAGCATTGTTTCATCCGGGGGATGACATGTTGGCAAATGCAAAAGAAAAGTTTTTTTTTTCTTAGAGGCAAAAAAACAAACAAAAAAAAACACTTATTGTCATGCAAACCTCACAGAGCGTAATTTATTTTTTCAATGATGTAGTAACAATGGTGGAAAATGACCATTGTTATATATATTTCTTTAAATCGCAAATATTTCTGTGAATTTCTTTTCATTTCCAACCTTCTTGAAAGGACGCTGTTTCCCTAATTTCCAATGCCGTCGAGATTACAAGCGCAGTAAAACAAGCAAAGACAACAAAATGCATTGAGATCAATTAAAAACGGTTACAATTTGACACAAAGTTGGCTAGAAATCACCTAATTCCTAAACTCTGCAATAGAGGGAACTTCTTTGTTTCTCTCTGTAACTCTATAAGTAATGTGCTTCTCTTCAAACCAGAGATTTTAATCAACAAATCTCAGAAACATTTGAGTGTTTTTAGGATTTTTGGAGCTAGATGCAGTACATGAGTCATGCAGCAGTATCATCATCAAGACATTTGAAAGAAAATGTTTCTCCTGATGATGCGTGTGCTGTAGCTGACAGGATGTCATGTGTTTCAGAGGTCTGTGGTCCAGCGTTGAGCAGAGAACATGTGGTGTTTGGAGCTTCTTTTACCACTGCTGTTGTTCGTCAAAGGTAATAAAATGTATCTTCTTCGTTTGATAGTAGACATTTTAGTAAACCTTCCTTTGAACCTACACCATGCAGGATGATTTCTGTAACCGTACTGATCTGATTCTCTCTGAACTTCTCTCAGATGCCAGTTGCCAGTGGAACGTTTGGGTGCCTCGGGACATCTCAGCCATGACAAATTCCTGCGTGGTCATCCCGTGCACCTTCATGTATCCGTCGGGTATCAGGCCGTACCGTGGCACTCACGGTATCTGGTACTTTGGCCAGCCCTACCCTCAACTCTTCCCTCCTGTTGTCTTCAAATCACGAACGGACGTCGTGCACGAGAGCTACAAAGGCCGCACGAAGCTGCTGGGCGACCTGCACCAGAGGAACTGCACTCTGCTCATCAACAACATCGGCACAGAGCACTCAGGGAGGTACTACTTTCGCGCCGACCTCGGTGGAGCCAACATGTACACGTTTCCAGACTTCTCTGAACTCAAAGTTCTTGGTAAGTCAACTATCAGAGTTCAATAAAAAAAAACCTGAAATCAGCAGTAAAATTTAATTATGTTTTATGTATGCATTTAGTCACAGTATCTATTAGTTATATCTTAAAGGTATAATGCGTGACATTTTAAACATTAATATAACAGACATCAAATATCATCGAGGAGTGCCTTTCTAAAACAAATAGTGAAGTTGAACCACCTCTAGGCTTGTTGTTTTCAGATCTTTGCACAAGGACAGCACTTCTTCCAGCTTGTTTATATTTCGCCCAGATGGTCAAACATGTTCAATTCACCTGAACCCCTACCTGTACAACCGTTAGCCCTGCCACCACATCCTTGGAAAGACAGCGGGTCCTGCCCACTCAGGGACACTGTATGTAGAGGCCCAATGGTGTTCTGTTGCAGGAGTACAATTCAAGGAGAATCAACAACTTTCTAAACCGAAGAAAATAATTTATTGGCATAAAATACTTCAAGGTAATAAAATTATCAACTTTGGCTACATAACTGAATGGAGATCAGTCCTTGGAGCGACTTGCTCCTTTGTTTTGGTCTGAGAGAATGGTGCTAAAATCTACTTTGAAAGTTGCATGTTATACCATTAGGTCATATCAAAAATTATATTTTTTTCATATTCCACATATGACCGTACAGATTATTCTGTGTTACGATATTGGACTGTTCAAGAATGCAGCTTATATGGGACGCCTGTGGCGTAGTGGTTGATGCATGTGCCCCATGTACAGAGGCTACAGTCCTCCAGGCCGGTAGCCCGGGTTCGGGTCTGACCTGTGGTTCCTTTCCCGCATGTCATTCCCTACTCTCTCCGTGTCCCTGATTTCTGACTCTATCCACCATCCTTCCTCTCAAATAAAGGCATAAAAATCCCAAAATTAAAACCTTAAAAAATACACCAATTTTTGCTGTAGTTTTCAAGTTAATTCCTGCATCTGTGCAACAAGATAAAATGCTGTTTTCAATATTAAGTTCCTGTTTTTATTATTCATTAAAAAAGTGTTTGTGTTCCTGTCCACCAGATCAACCAAACATTGACGTCCCAGAGGAGATTGTCAGCGACGAGAGTCTGGAGCTGACATGTTACGCTCCTGACAACTGCCCTGACATGACACCTGAGATCCAGTGGATGTACACCGACTACCTGCCGGACCCGGAGTTCAGCTCTGACTACCTGGAGGAGAGCAACACAGCTGTGCTCTCTGGCACCCTCACCTTCACGCCAAGGCCCATGCACAATGGTCAGCTGCTGGGCTGCAGGGTCTACTACCCCAACACTACACTGGTCTACGAGAGGCTCATCACTCTAGACATCAAGTGTAAGTTAAAAGCACCTCCAATAAGGCTAAGGATGTAAATTAAACTTTTGAGCTGTCTATAGTCAATACAATACAATACTTTATTGTCCCCAGGTGGAAATTTGTTTTCACAGCTTTGCATGGTTGATACACATAGAGAAAAACACATGACAACAGGTAGAAACACACAACACACTTAATAGGAGTGTTGTGTCTGACATGTCATACTTAACAGCAATTATTATCTGGCCCAAAGTTGAAATTATTTGTGTCATGTAGCGTCATCATTTGGGTTGCAAAAAAGCCAAGTGTTCCTAAAATGAAGTTTTAAGAACCTAGAAGCTAATGCTATTTCTTAGTTCACAGCCTCTCTATGAAAACAGAGAATAATCTTATTCCACTTATATAAAATAGCAAACAGCTTTTGTTATTAAAAGGAAATTTCCAGAATCAGCTAAACCCAATCAATAGGCATGCTAGAAGCTACAGTATGGGAGGCTATATTTAGACACAGCTAAAAGCTAGAACGTCAGCATACTATCATGCTGGCGATGACAAATGTGGATTTTCCTTCCTCAATTTGAATTGGCAGAAATACTTAATCTTAACTGACTTTAGTTACAGACTGTAGCTTAGCTGTGTACACGTTATGTTCCTTGATGGTTATTGACCCATATTTCAGATCTTCTGTTTTGCACAGTTGCGTCCATAAACCGCTAAACCGTGCTGGTGGTCAGGGTTATACACAATGTGGTTATTGCACTGCCACCACTGTGATGATTCCCTCCTACCACTCAGTTAATGCAGTGTTTTCATGGCCACTTGCCTGAGCCTTTGCAAAGGTGATGCCTGATAAAATACCATCTATTGTCTGCATATCTTGTCGAAGTTAAACCAAAAATAATGTTTCCTAGCAATGCAAGTTGAGTCAAATCACCCAGTGTAGTGGATATAATGCAAATGCTATGTTTATAATCACCTTTTCTTAGGCTTATTATAATACAAATACACACTTCTTAGAGTAAACCAAAGTAGAGCTAAGACTATCTTCAATTCTGCAGGTATTCGGTCATGAATCTGTGTATTTCCCCAAAAATATTTCCAATATTTCTGATAATTGTTCTACATAACAATCATGGGAATCAGAGGGTTGCCAGTTCAAGTCCCGGCACGGACCAAGTCCGGAAATTGGTCTGGTAGCTGGAGAGGTGCCAGTCCACTTCCTGAGCACTGCTGAGGTGCCCTTGAGCAAGGCACCTAACCCCCCCCCACCAGCTCAGGCGCGCCCCCTGTGGGCAGCCCCCTCACTCTGAGACCTCTCCATTAGTGCATGTCCATAGGATCCTGTTTGTGCATGTGTGTATATTTCGGCCTATGTTTGTGTAGCATGTTTACTAGACAGAATGTAAAAACGAATTTCCCCTCGCGGGATCAATAAGTATAAAATTATTATTATTATTACATGCGTTTGACTTAATTAAGTTGCTAAATTTCATTTAAAGCCATTGATTAGTTGTTGAAATAATTTGAAACATTTAGTAACTTTTTTCAATTAAATATCACTGTCCTGCTTTTCTTGCAGTATGCAGTATGAAGTGTTCAGCGAGTCCTTGAACCTTTCTCTGTCTTATTCTCCCTCCTAGATGCTCCACGCTCTGTTTGGGTAAACGTGTCCTCAGAGGTGATGGAGGGCAGCTCTGTGATGCTGCACTGTGAGGTGGACAGTAACCCTCCTCCCAGGATCTCCTGGATGTTTGGAGATCAGGAGCTTCTGTGGGACACGGCATCCAACATCTCTCTCTCCCTGGACGATCTGACGCCTGCACAGGAAGGAATATACACCTGCATTGGAGACAATGGCTACGGCATCATGAACACTTCACTGTACCTTTCTGTCAAGTGTAAGTCTCTGAGTCTGTAGCTGAAACCCCAGTTATATACATTTAGTATGTGTAGAGATATGGGAAGAAACCGGTTACATTTATCATGATTTTAAGATGATGAGATGAAATTGGAGGGTAAACTTAAACTTTTCCATCAGGAAGAAGGATGGAATTAATTTACTGAAAATGTTTTTTATCAGAAAGGCTCATAATGTAGTTCTTTAAATGTCACAGTAATGGTGATAGACAGCTGATGTTGTGACCCTGATTCATACAGTAATTACTACATTTTCAGTGGGGAAAAGCCTGAATCATCCATAAAAACTTCTAGTCACCTTTGTACATTAGCTTCTACTGATACAAATGGTAAAAATGGACTTGAGTGTGCAAATCCTTTTCTAGTCTTCTGCCCACTCAAAGTGTTTTTTTTTACACTGCATGTCATATTCACCCTTTCACACCACAAAGTTTCCATCAGTATGAATCGTGATTAATTGCTTAATTTCAATAGTTAATCGCGATTAATCACATTTTAGTAGCATTTATTTTAATTTAACAACTTCTCTTAAATGCACTTTATGCGATCTGTTTTTAAACAAAAAAGCAGATTGACAACATTTGCACCCAGCTGGTGAACCTAGTGGAGCTTTTAGCAGGGTCAGAGCAAAATATTTCCCTCAACAGATGGCAGGGAGGAAAAAAATTAAAGCCTAATGTCAGCTTGCCAAATGTACTCTTAATAAATGATTATTCTGCTCCATAACTTCTGGTTATGACAATTCACAACTGACATGTTTTCGCTATATTCAGAACTTGGTACTCCTGCCCCCAAGCTACCAAAAATAATAATAATAATTTCAGTAATTTCAGGTCCTAGCTGTGTAAATGGCAGATATATTCAGTCTGGAAAAACACCTCTTAAATACTTTTCATTTTGTTGCAGACCCTCCACGCGAGCCTCAGGTAAATGACTCCATCACTGTACAAGAGGGAACCTCACTGGCCCTGCACTGTAGCACCCAGGGCAACCCAGCCCCCACCCTCACCTGGCTGAAAGATGGAGAGCTGGTTGGCACCATTACTGCTGACGAGCTGTCAGTTTTGGAGCTTGTGGAAATCACACCCCAGGGAGATGGACAGTACCGTTGCCTGGCAGAGAACGAGCATGGAAGAGCAAGCAGCTCCATGAACATCACTGTAGAGTGTGAGTGCTTACTGTCCTACATTACCAAACAGTAGAGTAAGGAGTAGGAGTTACATTTTACAGCTTTGAAGTGTAACATTTAGCTGATATGAATGATGGATGATATGAATGATGAATGATCGAGTAATTGATTACTAGTAAATTCTTCATTTTTTAAAAGTAAACAATATGTCGGATCCCGCAACGCCCCGCAACTCGGCAGCTGCTTTAAGATGGTCCGCTCTGGGGGCACCAGTACCCTAGCAGCTGGTGCGTGCACCCCATGTAGGCCTTAGACCTCAAGAGCAGGTGGCCCGGGTTCTAATCCGACCTGTGGCTCCTTTCCTGCAAGTCATTCCCCACTCTCTCTCCTCAGTTTCTGACTCTATCCACTTTCCTATCTCTGAAATAAAGGCATGAAAAGCAAAGAATAACATTTACATCTATCTAAGAACATCTTTAAAAAAAAAAGATGGTCCTATTTGTTTTCTATGATGTGCTGGTCAATAGTTAGTTATAATCTTTTCTGCTCTCATAGCTGTTGTCTTCGTGAGGTTGGCTTGAACTCCGGCTAGAAAAATGCCAATAGTTCGAGGACGCCTGCTCCTCCCACAAAACTTAATAAGAGCAGTCATTTATTTTTGTTAATATTCTCCTTTCTGGTATCATCACAATGATGGGTGCTAACAGGGCTAGCAAGTGATGTGTTGTCTGTCTCCGCTGGTTTCTTTGTGCGCATGTGGTTAAGCGTCAGATTTAGTGCATCTATGATATGCATGTTTTACACCACATAGCTTGCACTGCACGTTATAGTTGTCTTTTTTGTTGAAGTACTTCCAGACATCACTTTTCCTGTTAACAGCTGATGTGGTGCATGTAACGCAAACTGATTTTTTATGTAACATAAAAAAATGTATGCATGCATTCATCCCTTAGATGAATAACAAGCACAGGATTTTAAAAGTATCCAGCTTACATTGAATACATGTACATTTTTACCTATTTTCGAGAAAGTACTTGTCCTGACAAGAAAAAGAACGTTTTATAGTCATATTCTGTGCTGTTGTTGTTTTCTTAACTCTGTGGCCTCCTTCAATAGATGCCCCGGTCCTTCTGGAGGAGTCAAAGTGCACAGTCGTCAGGGAGGGTGTCCAGTGTGTCTGTATGGCCACAGGAAACCCTGAACCGACCATTGAGTTCTACCTGCCCGACCTGAACATCACAATCAATGAAACAGATGGCCGGTACAACTTCTATACACATACAGATGGACACACATCCACTGGTATGATCAAGCTACGAGAGAAGGGTGAGCGGATGGACAACGGCGGTCCTGCCGTCAACGTCCACTGCAGCATCTTTAACATGTACGGAAGAGAGAGTGTTCTTCTGGAGCTACAGCAGGAGAGTGAGTAGAGGGAGTGATCAAAAGTTTTGCTTCTTATTGTGATGTTTGATAGAATCATATAAGAATTTGCTACCTCTGTCTCTTCTAATATTTATTGTAGTTTTCTTGTGTGTTATAGGGGCTTTCCAAACATGACAGTATTTTAAATATTATTCCAATAAAGCAAAAGTCAGTGATATAAGTAGCTTTTTACTTTTACCAATAATTCCTGTTAAAAGAACAAAACCAACAATTTGGTTGCCAGTCTCTGGTCTGGCTTTCAATGGGTTCCGCTTTTATATCATCTTTCTGTGTAACTGTAAAACATTAAATCTAACTCAAGTGCATCTCCAATGTGGTGTTCTGCTAGGCTCAGTTCTGGTTTCCCTCCTGTTTTCAATATATTGTGGTCCGCTAGGTGATATTATTCTGTATCAAAGACAACAACCATCTGAAAACCTCCCAATTCAACCAAAAGACTAAATTGGCCCCATCATCCTCTCTAAATGCCTGTTATTAGAGCATGGATGATTTATACATTTCCACCATTAAACTTAACTAAACATGAACTTTCTCCCAACACCGCAGAGTCCCTCTACCGCTTATTCAATCAAATCAGACCCTCTGCAGAATATCTTGGATTAATATACATACACTGAGTTTAAGTTTGATAGAGAAGTCAACTTTATATACAATACATTGATGTACAACCATGTACTGTATGCATTCCTGCTCCCCAACAAATGCCCAATTCTTCATGTTTGAGTCACTTTTGCCAAAAATGACAGTTCCCAGAATGCCCAGCTGTTTATGGAGGCTATTTGGTTTTAAGATATTTAACTCTCTAATTTAAGATACATTTCAAAACGTTCATCTTTACTTGAAATGGATAGATGTTGAGAAAGACCATTGATATGGTAGAGGAGTCAACCTAATTCACTTATTAATGGGAAATAGACAAACAGGACTTACACACCAAACTAAAAAGTAAAACTGTTTACCAGGCAGAAATAATACAAATTACTGTTTTGTTTGGTGATATTACAATGTCATAACGAAAGAGAGAAATTGTCAAGCAACTATTCTGCGATCAAACCACAAAGATGTTATAGATCTCAAGCATTGCAGAAATACCAGAAATACCAGAAAAGTACAAGCTTTGAATGCAGAGGATGCTAAAGAAGACGCATGTAGCTGCTTTCACAAACATGAACATCAATTAAATGGCCCTGAGGCAAAGTAAGGGTTCAGTATCTCACCCATGAAAACCTTGACAAGCTGACTGCAGAAGCCTTGAATTGAAACACCCATATATGATTAGGGGACATCCACTCTACATCTGAGTACCAGTTGTCCAAATGCACTCTCTAGAATCCTTATCTGCTATTTAAAAATTGTGATTGATTTATTTTCCAGAAAAGTACATGATGGCAGTTATTGTTGGCACAATTGGAGGAGTGGCAGTCATAGCCTTCATCATTGCAGCAGTGAGATATGTTGGCCACAACAACAAGAAGTGAGTATAAATGACATACTAATTGAGAGGCCGTGATTTTTCCTCACTAAGAAAGTTCTGATATCCAAGGAAACACTTAAGCCTTGTCATCCATTCTAAAACACTTTGATGCACATCGTTAATGAGTGAGTGTGGGATTGATGTGGACGTGAGAATTATTTCTCCAGAGCAATTTCAGTTTATTTGCCAGTACAAGTCCCTGTTGAAATCCTTGGAGACCCACATTGACTTCTTTGTGGAGTGGGTTAGCAAGCTGGACTAACCTTATATTTTGCAGGCACAATTCCCTGCTCTGACACTGCTTCTGTATCCTGTATCCTTGACCTGCTACGCTAAATACAACCCAGGTAGCTCTCTTAACCAAGGTGCTTTATTTTAGCCTTGAGGCATATTTGGACCCGAAATTTACAAGCTTTCTCTGACAATTCACCCCTGAAGTGGGTTTGAGCTAAGCAACTAAACCCATAAAATAACCACGTCACTCACAGCCATAGTTGGCCTCCAGCATAACCTTACAGAGCTTGTTGTTTTAAAATGGATGCCCAGGCTTGGCGTGTCACCCTGCGTTAGTGGCAGTCTCGACCGAGTCTGACTATGTGACTCCGTCCCCCAGAGAGAATGGCAACCCTAGGCAGGACGTGGTCCTGGAGAACCCAGCTTTGTACTACAGCGCAGTCAAGAAGGACAAACAAAATCTGAGGAAGAAAGTGGTGAGACATGCTGATGATAATTCTGATTATGATGGAGACAGGGTTGGATAGCCCTTCTCTGATTCTTGGGGTTGTAGTTTTATGTAATGCAACAAGTTGTGTTATCAGACCCCGTTTTGACCTCTGAAAATAAAGTACAAGAAACCTCTCCCACTAGCATTCCAGTAGCTCCATTCATGACCTTTCCAAACACTGTTTTCTCTTGCTTTCATCGCTTCTCTGCGTTTTCTGTCTGTTTTTCTCTCCCCTAACTCTTGCACAGCTTAAGACAGAGCTGTTGGGTTCAAAGTTTAACTCCATTCTAGAGGAGACTACGGTAAGGTTCAAAATCAAACCCCCATAAAAAACACAAGCTCAATGATGGATGCATCTCCTCGCATATCAGCTTCTGTGTTGCGAACACTGCTGTTTGTTTCTGAACCTGCCTTCTGCATGGCTGCCTCATTGCTAACACAAACAGCCAGACTAACCAGAAACATCTCAATCTCCTTGTCAGTCTTCCACCAGTAACCACTAACATCTTTTCTTTATGGTGTCTGTCGCACTCCGGCACCTGGTCAGTGATTTGTGTCACTGATTGGTCCTTCTATCTGCAGGGAGAAGACGGGGATTATCAACCTGTGGGCTCTTTGGCAGGACTGGAGAGGCAAGAGCTGAATTATGCTGCTTTGGAGTTTATTGGGGCCAGGCCCAGGGAGGGGGCCTCAGGGAGGGGGGATGACGGCAGCAACTATACGGAAATCAAAGCCAAATGAATCGCGATCCTTCCCTGATCCCTCGGCTATGCGAGACGCAGTGGCAGCCCCAACACATCCTCTGCCCCATAAACTGTTTAATAACCCACCATCCACTGTATTTCCCCTGCATATGATGACTCCTCATTTCTCATTTCTTTAGATTTGTCACATATATTTTACCATGCCAGCAACCCCCCTCATGCTGCCCCCCTCCATGGGACACCCTATCACATGCCATCATTTGGAAAAAAAACAACTTTTTTTGGTCTGTGAATGACCCACTGGACAATATAAAAAGAAATGTTTAGCCTCAGTTGTCGTTCATGAGCTCTTAAACATCCAGTGTTACCCAGCAGCCATGTTTTTGTTGCTTTCTCCATGTTTTTAATTGTGATGGTTGATGTAATTGTCAAATAGCTGATGTCTAAGTTCTCATATCAGTTTCAGTATTTGCTCTACATCTGTCTGTTCTAACTGTCACTGTGTCTGCTGCCAGTCGATGCATCAGGGCAAGGAGTAACTGTGCTTTTGTTGTGTTATATTTATGTTTGTCTATCCACTGAGAGCAAACCTCTCTCTTTTTTGGTTAATTCCATCCGGGAAAGTTAACCGACTGAGGCAAACGATGGCGACCATCTCAGCATCTTGTTCCCACATAATTATGTTTAATGTGTGCTGTGACTCAGTAGCCTCTCATAAAAAATGAGAAAAAAAGTCAACATCACTTTTTATAATTGAAGAGGTTTTGTAAATTTCTCTGGCACACTGCCCAGTTCTCAAGAAAACATTACAGCTTCTTTCCAGCCTTTTCCACTGAGCTGCAGAATGTGTTGAGATTTTGGGGGGAATTATTCTGCACTTTGGCCGAATGCAAAATGTCTGTCTCGTTTTCTCTTCCTAAAAGTGTGGGGTCTTGCGGACATAAGGAACAACAGATTTGCAAGGGAGTGGCCAAAGTGTTATCTCTTTTAGACAATGTGTATGTGTATGTGTGTTCAAATCGTGCTGAAAGATTCATAGGACACTGACCACTGGGGTCTTTGGGAAGCTCGAGCACCACTTCACTTGAGAAGTTGAAGCTTTTTTTGCCCCTTACAGGATTGCATCAGATGTTTGAATGACAAAAGGTGATGCTGACTAGCTAGGTGGTTGTGCTACTCAAAGACATGATGATGAACCTGAGATGTATTATCAAATACACTAATCTTCTAACTTTATAATAATGTTATCAATAATATATATTAAAAAGATGTATATTGATAGGGAAAGGGTTGTACAGTAAATACGCTAAAAGTCTGTTTTGATAGAAGGCATCAATGTAAGTAGTAAATTATGGATAAAAGCCAGCGTGAGAAATAAAAAGCCTTGTCCACTATCGTTCATATTTTTGACTGAACACTGTCTTTATGAGCTAAGTCAGTAGTACCAACCTTATGTACTACAGTCAAAGGAGAAACGAGCCAACATTGTGTATAATTAACAGAATTTTCTATGAGAAAACTTACACAGGCCTACAAAAGGTAAAGGTGAAGGATTAGTACAACAAAAGCCTAGAACCATGATTTCTGAGTGTTACAATACAGTTTTCGCTGCATGTAAACAAAGCCAGAGTCAGCTGTTCTGGCTCACATTTGCCTCGTGTTGAGACAGAGTTTTGTCGACTAAATGATGGATATACTGGATATTATTCCTGAATAAGCGTTCCAAGTGGGGTTTGTTTTTTATTCCATTTTTATTTAAGTAGAAAAATCAAATCTATCTTACCTAATATTTTGTGTTGTAAAGCAAACTGTAAGCCCTTTACTTTGTGGTGTTCATAATTATTATGTAGATTTTTTTTTTTTTCATATATGATTGACACAATAATTCCGATCAGGGTTTTGCAATCTCTCTGCAAATAAGCACCATAACTTAATGAAATTAGGAATTCTGCAATGATGTTTGCTTGCTCTTTTATTTTACACAAGTCTGTCATGCTTCAAGCAAATTCCTCTGTCTTCGGTTCAATGCAAACATAAATAAAATCAAAACAACATGTCATGGAAAAGGTTGATTATTGATAGAAAACAAATTGTGAACTGTGTGTTTATCATGCTTTCTTTTTTGTTGGTATTGCTTAAATTGTCAGGCATTTCGGTTTCCCTTTAAGTTAACAAAAACAAGAAAAAACACATGGTCATATGCAAACATCAATCCTGAAATACAAGGCTTTGTTTTTCTTTTAAATACCAAAACCCTAACAACCACAAACATACACATGCTTGCACGCATGCACACACACACAATAGACCTTTTACTTTTATGCATGTGTTGATGGTACCAAAAGATTCAACCCTCATTGCTTTGACCACAAATAATCTTTACAAAAAACATTAACTGCTACATCAATTAGCATTGACTTGATATATCTTTGCTGCCTCAAGGAGCTGCTTACTTATGTGCATGACCGGAGGCGGCCTGTAATATTGAATTTCTTTCAAACGCATTTTAATTCCATCATAGGTAGCAAAGCGATGCTGGTTGTGATTAATCAGATGCTTCCTGATTGAGACCACCAGCAGCTTGAAAAGTGTCATATTAATAAGCTCAGGCAGTGATGCTGTTTGAGGTCCAGTTACTGCACTGGATTCATAGGGATACTGCAGGAAGGACATAGCAGAGGATTTTTACAATAAGAGTTCTGTAAAGAGACATGCCATGAAAAGGGACATAATGTTTAAGTTCTAATTGGCTTATTTTCCATAAAGGTAAAACTCTTCTTCAGCATATCTGCTATTTCAAGCAGATCAGCTGGTTATGAAATTATGAAATTAATGCTGATGCCTAATATACCATCACAAATGAGTCTGATAATGTAGCAGGAGGACACTTTTAGTCAGAAAACACCAGTTATAGTTTTTGTCAACAGGCTGCACCAAAATGGACACATACTGAACTTTCCTCAATGGAACGCTTGTTAGAGACTGCAACGGCATAACCGAGACTACCACCTAATGAATCTCTTTTTGTTTGTTACTTGAAATGTGATGATGACAGAACATCTCATCTTACTATCATGTCTCAACTACCACTGTGATTTTATGAGTCACATATTATGCAAAATACTCTTTACTAAGTTTTCAGAACACTAATATGTCCCAAGTTTACAAACCCTATTTATGAGAAAAGGCCATCTTCTCCATCTATTGCCTGCTCCACTTTTCAAAAAATGTGTGCTCAAACAGGACGTCTGGAGGTTTTCCCTTCATGACATCACAAAGGGCAGTAACCCCTCCCCCATGTGGGTGACACTCCCACAGCTAGGTGTTTGTCTGTCTTCTCAATGTAAGCATGGTGCAAGAAACACTGAGCCACATTCCCTTCCAGAGGGGTGTGGATTGGCGATTGTAGAGTGTGTTGGGGCCCTCAAATCATCATGTCTGCCAGTGTCCCAACACTTACTTCTCTTCTTCTTTTTTCCAGTTTTTTTTTCTCTGCTTTTAGATGGATCATTCCTCTTCATTGACCTCTGTTGACATTAATTTACAAACTTTGGTTTTCACAGCATTAGTGAGTGCTGTCATTGCAAAATTTGCACATATTGGACCACTGCTGTGGTTTAAACATTTTTTTCCACCCTCAGGGTCCTCCTACTGGTCTGGGGCCCCAAGCAGTTGCCTGCCTTGCCTGTTGACATGCAGCGCCTCTGAGGAGAGCGTTGGCTTCAGTGTGGTGGAGGTGTTGCCCTACAGCAGTCTGTTTTGGTTTTATGCTGGTGCTCAAGGGCGACTAGATCAAAAAGTTGCACATTCGTCCTTTAAAAAGGTCCAATGTACATAATTAATTGTTCAGAATCAAAAGTTGTAGGAAACAAGCTTTAGATGTTATGGGTGACATATTTAACATCCAGTATTAACCACAAAGTGAATCTCTTTTCTTAATGCAGCTTTTTAAAAAAAATAGTTTCTATTTATTCACTGATACAAACCACTAACAGAAGGAAGCGGAAAAAGAAGGAAGGAAGAGAGAGTCAGTTGACAGAGTGTAAGACACGGAGAGAAGAAAAAGGAACAGAGAGGTAAAACAGATCTTTTCGAGAGATTCATTTTTTGGCGCACATTATCATTAATGTTCCAATACTGGTGTAACGCCATCGTTTAAACCATTATGGTCAACTTTATTCATGCTAAACTTTCAAGGACAGATGTCAATATGTGTTCTCACTGTAGCTTTGGGAGCTGTATTAGAACCAGTTTCATCAGCTGACCCTTTTCTCTGCTTTCTTTTCTTTCTTTGTTTTTTGTAAAATGTCTTATTAAATCTGAAAACAAGATTCTGTCCAGCGGAATGAGAGAGTGACTGTCCACGACATCAAATCAGGATGTTTGTTCTCATCTGTTCAACTCTGCTCCTCTTCATCAGAGACAGCAGTGCGCAGACAGGTAAACTTTTCTGTTGTTTTCATGTTATTCTACAATCGCATCTACTAAAAAGTTGGGACATTGTGGACAATGAAAAATAAAAACAAAAGGGGTTGATTTTCCCAACATTGAAACCCCATATTTAATTGAAAACAGCACAGAGACAACATATCAAAACTCGAAAATAAGACATTGCATTATCTTGCAAAATAATGTGCCTATTTTTAATTGAATGACAGCAACATCAGACATTGGCAACAAAAGACTAGAAACATTTTGAAATGATTGAAGAGAAGCTGAGTATCTGAAGTATTAGACTTTAATAATACAGTACATGTATACTCATCAAAATTCATCTTTACACAGAATTTAGTGGTGACATATGGTTGAATAGTATACAATATGTGTTCTTTGCTGCTGACAACAACAGTTATAAAACAATCAATTGTAAGGCGTCTTCATTTTTATTGTATATACGGCTACTGCACACACTTGAAGGTAAAGCAGTAGTGAAAGGATTTAAGCAATTTCCTGTTTTAACATCTGGAGATAACAGGAACATGACCAGAAAGGCACAAAAATGTATTTCACGATTTCTAATTAAAAAGGTGGTGGTGGGTCCTGAGGCTAGACCAGATAAGAACCAGTGTCATAATTGATGTATAGAATATCATAGTGCCATATTTTGAAGATCCTGTTGTTTGTGTCTCACTGTTTGCATTTACAGGGGCTTCACTGGAAAGAAGACATTTCTGTCAAGGTGACTTCTGCATCAGTCTGATTGATGGAGAAATAACAGCAGAGGCTGGACTCTGTGTTGTGATACCGTGCTCTTTCACCACTAGTCTGTGTTTAACCCCGAAGTTTAATTTGGTTCAAATGTGAAAACAAATGCTCTGCTTCAAATATGATATTCAACAGCGATAGCTCTAAGGTTCAGTCTGCGTTCAGAGGTAGAGTGTCACTGTTGCAGCCTGATGTGTCTAAGAGGGACTGCAGCATCATCATCAACGACCTCACTGCGTCAGACTCTGGATCGTATCAGCTCAGAGTTATGGGTTTGCAATTTCTAGAGGGTCTGAAGATGGATATACATTTAGCTCAACAGCAACTGTCTCTGTTAAAGGTATGAAAAACGACAGCAACCCTTTAATGTCAAAATGTTATTTTGACATGCATACATGGATTCTGAGATTATCTTAAACATAACATTTTGTTAGCATCCTCCTAAAAAAAGGAATAAGTTACTGTGAAATCAAGGATATAAATGTGACGATTTCCATTGTGTACAATACTGTAATTGAACTCTTACTACGGTATAGTGTTGAACAAATGACCCTTTTAGTTTAGCCCAGTGTAAATGTGTTTGACCTACAGACTGCTCATCTGGTTCTGATGGACCTGTCTCCCTTTAGAGCTGATCCAGAAGCCCACAGTGATGGTTCCTCCTTTGACAGAGGGTTGGCAGAGCACGCTGACCTGCACTGCTCCTGGTCTCTGCTCTGGATCTGCTCCTGAGTTCACCTGGATGTGGCGAGGAGGAGGAGGAGAGAAGGACACCCACATCACAGGAAACATCACTGATTTTGCGATTGAGAGTTTGAACGCTGTATCACAAAGACACAGCTCAACTATAACTTTAAACCCTTCATTCACCCAGCACCACAACTCTGAGATCACCTGTAAGGTTAACTTTGTGAACAACATCACTACAGAGGAGACAGTGACTCTGAAACTGAACTGTGAGTATAGAGCTTAGTGTGAACATGTGAACATGGGCATTAACTCCTTGAATGACTTATGCGGTTTTCCCACTTAGACAAAACTCCTGAAAACTTCCCGAAATGTTCAGGGTGAGCTTCATTTGTGAATTCAAATGGTCAAATTTTGGTGGTGGGGAAGCTGACAATTATAACACTGGACCATTGGGTGACTTGTGCGTAGTGAAGCTGCTTCATACTCTTTTCGGCTTACAATAATTGACTTTACCAATCATTCGTTGAAACTGTAAATACATCCAATAACATGAAGTATTGGTATTGCCTCCCGAGGCCCCCCCATACAACTAGTAAAGTCTCTTGCGGTTAGGTGGGTGCACATGTCAACAAGTAAGTTAGAAAGATTCCGGTAGCAGGCTGCCCTGAAATTCATTAGAAATGTTCCATAGTGCATATGTGAAAAAGGCTCTACAGACCGGTTAGCTAAAAACAACACCGTACTCTGTAAGCGTTCTGCGTTTAATAAAATGGTCACTAAAGTTAGAAGAAAATCATTATTTCGTAGATCTCTTGTAAAAAAAGTCAATAAAAAATTCTGAATGTGTGTCCACAGTGTATCCAAAGATCCTAAACAGCTCTAAATGTGAGGTTCAGTCAGACGTACTGACCTGTGTGTGTGCCAGTGAGGGGTTACCTTTACCCACCATCAAATGGCCGCTGTTGGAAGACCACACCCAGTACTCTGTCACTACCACTGTGACAAGCACCACAGTAACCAGCACCCTTAACCTAATGTTAAAGGACCAAAGCAACACTGTGGTTGAGTGTGTCAGCAGCAGTGAGGTTGGAGACGTGAAAAAGAGCCTCACCATGACAACGTCAGAAAGGCGAGAGGGTGAGTAAACGCTTTAAAGTAGGACCTATGAAGACAAGAATGTGTTTAGAATAATAGTTCTGTTTAAAACTTTTAGGCTTTAAAGTTCTAGGCAAAGTTATTTAATTATAATTTAATAATACAAGTACATTTTTAGTTTTGCATGTCGGTACAACATGAAGTTGAGATATTTGTTTAAATGAATAACTGAATCAAAAACCAATCAGGGTTAGCTTAACAAACTAGATAAACTGATCGGCTGTCATTGTTGATGTCCTCCAGCATAACTAGCTGAGCAGAAAGTCACACATTCTTTAAGCAGTTAAAGATCTTTGTGTCATCTTTTACCAGATCAACACTGCCTGATTCCCTGGGTTGTTGTCGCTGCTGTATCTCTCAGTGTGAATGTCGTCCTAATAATCAGCCTGATGTTCCTTTGGTATGTTGCTACACCATCATTTTATGCTCTGAAAGCTTTATTCATGCACTGGAAACTTTTAGACATTTCACCACATGTCACGTTTTCTTCTTTCCAAAGGAACAAAAGAAAAGTAGTGAAACCAAACCAGGAGGACACAACGTACATGTCACTGAAGAAAAGAGACCAATCAGCAGAGTATGACGTTATCGGCCAGCCTCTGAACTAACAAGACTCAGCTCGTCATTGGGAGAAAGTATTTATGAAGTCTTAATGATCTGTTACATTATACATTCAACGATGTATTTTTTGGTGTTTTTAAAAAAGTATTTTTTTTTCCTATTTTCATTTTTGTAGTTCATTTTCTAAAACCTTATTTAAACAGTTTAAGTTAACTGTGTCAGCTTTGTTGTTCAATAACCTGTTCACGTTCACTCGCCATACAACTGGCTTATTCCCAGTGAACTCCAAGTCCACTATTGAAGCTGTGATTCTTTGTGCTTTGTAGTTTTTATGTTTTTTTTAATCACTACACATCTGTAACTACATTTTTCCAGTCAAATGAATGGTCTTTTACAAAAGGTTCATGAGATCTCATTGTTGTTACCAGTTAAATGTTTAAAACTGTTTTTGTTTGTAATTAATTGAATAAATAATTTGAATCTTTTTCAGTTTCTTCATTAACTGATTATGAATTGTCATTTCATCGACAGACTTATATAAATATTTGGCCCATAAGATATTGAACATTTCCTCATTATAACACAAAATCAAAATAGCAAATTTGGTTCCATTCTGTTAAAAAGTTAAATATAGTTCAACAAAGGGCATATTAATTTTTATTAAGTTATGCCCATAAGACTTCATCAATGATATCTGCCATTGCAGATTTTTGCAATGGCAGAAGAAGATAACTATGAACAATTTAACTATTTGATTAGGCACTCAACCACAGGGTATATTTAACAAAGCAACTCTGGAATAACCCAACATGCAACATCCTGTTTTAACATGATGAGAAGTGTGGAGTTTCCATTGTTACATCAAACTTCAATCGTGCAGTTTTGCACAAACATGTTCTTCCCTTTCACTTCTTATTTCCTATAAGATAAGTCAACAAGACAGCTTTTAATAGGGAGCGCAGTGCATCTTTGAAGATTGCATTATGTCCACATCATAGAGTCTATGGTCCTGCCTCGTATATTTTTTAAATCAAGTTACAATAAAAGGTAAAACAGCGCCTCCCCGGATTTCATTCTGACTGCATGTCTTGTGTGCGGTGAAAGAGGGTATTGCACTCTTGTAGAGGGAAAATCATTCCCACTTAAAGCAAGCAGGTGGTAGCAGTTGTAAAAAATCTATTTACTTTATGCAGTTGTTGTGGATGTCCCGGAAAACTTTGGGTGGGAAGGAAAACCTCTTTCATTATGTTATAACTTCTTTAATTTGTCCTTCAGTCAGATGTCCTGACCTGTGTGTGCATCAGTGAGGGGTTTCCTTTACCCACCATTGAACGGTCGCTACTGGAGAACCACACCCAGTACTCTGTCACGACTAGAAAGTCAAAGCACTCAGTCAACAGTCAATAATTTGGGTTAAAGTACATTTTTAGTTTTGCATGTTGGTACAACAACAATTGAGATATTCTTTTTAATTTATAACTGAATCAAAAACCAATCAGGGTTAGCATAACATAACAAGCCAATTTCAGCAACTCTGTCCAATAATCAGCCTGATGTTCCTTTGGTATGTTGCTACACCATAATTTTATGTTCTGAAAGCTCTATTCATGCACTGGAAACTTTTAGACATTTCACCACATGTCACGTTTTCTTCTTTCCAAAGGAACAAAAGAAAAGCAGTGAAACCAAACCAGGAGGACACAACGTCACTGAATACTTTCCTGATGGGTCCAGCACCTTCTGCTGGAGGAATAGTAGTTATAGTGCAAATGTTGACCTCCCTTATGTTATTCAAAAACACGTTTGGTAATTAAATATACCCATAAGAGAGAGACTAATGCACGCTTTTATTACCAGCAGGCTGGACTATTGTAACGCTCTCCTTTCTGGTCTTCCTAAAAACACAACAAATCGGCTACAGCTACTACAAAACTCTGCCGCATGAGTACTGACAAAGACCAGAAGGAGAGCACACATCACACCTGTTTTACAATCTTTACACTGGCTGCCTGTTAGTTTTCGTGTTGATTTTAAAATTCTTTTATTAGTTTATAAAGCATTACATGGTCAGACTACCTCTCAGATATCATTTTAGTTTATGAACCAGTACGGCCCCTCAGATCCTCCAGTTCCTCTCTCTTAGTTGTTCCACAGAGCAGGACAAAAACCTTTGGCGATGCTGCTTTCAGCTGTTACGCTCCGAGACTGTGGAACAACCTTCCTGAGGGTCTGAGAGTAGCCCAGAATATCGAGATTTTTAAATGCAGTCTTAAAACTCATTTATTCAGTCTGGCTTTTATATAGTGTTTTATATCAATTCAAATCTTAACATTACTGTATTGTCTTTTTTATCCTACCACAATTTTAAATATTTTCCTCTTATGTATTTATTTTAATATCATGTGTCGTATTTTCTTTTCTTCTTTTTTTTTACACATATTTTTTAATTCTTATTGGTGTGCATTAGTCTCTCAATGATTTTATAAACTACTTTTTGTCAACAACTTTTCTGTACTCTTGTTAAGCACTTTGAACTGCAATTCAATTTGTCTGAAAGGTGCTATAGAAATAAAGTTTGATTGATTGATTGATAAATTTAGCATTAGGCCTATACTGCTTCAGGTTTTCCACACATCAAAGATATTTATTTTATTCACCCAGTTATTTTAGTTTGTAAATGTGATGCTGTTGATTAATTAATTTCATTAGCTTGTATGTAAAAACCCAGCCTTCATATGAACACATTAGTATTTGTAAAACAAACCTTTTGAAGTTAGAATTATATTATTAACCACTTGAATGTAGTTTGAAAGACAATTATTTGACCTACGTACATAGAAATCTTTCTTGGTATGTAAAATAGTAGTACCTCGAAATTAGGCTTTAATGCAATAGGCTACTTAATCATACTGTATTAATCATTTAATTCTCAACGTTTAATCAGGTACAAAGTCACATCTTCAGCCCAATGTTATTTCTTTATCCAAGCATTTGTAGTTTTGGTTTTTTTATGGATTTTAAATGTTTGTACTTTACAATCAATCAATCACTCAATCACTCAATCACTCAATCAATCAATCAATCAATCAATCAATCAATCAATCAATCAATCAATCAATCAATCAATCAATCAATCAATCATAATCAAATAATCAGTCTTTATTTGTATGGCACCATTTCACAACAAATGTTATCTCAATACAATTTACAAAAAAAGCAGGTAAAAGGTCCTTAGCAGCAGTCCGTCCCCGCCAACAATACAGAGTAACCAAAAGAGAGAGAGAGAGAGAGAGAGAGAGAGAGAGAGAGAGAGAGTGAGAGAGAGAGAGAGAGAGAGAGAGAGCAGCTCAAGGTGCCAGTTCCCCCAGTAGTCTAAGACTATAGCAGCTGGTCTACACCTGTACCAGCCCAAACTATAAGCTTTATCAAAAATAAAGTTTTAAAGTCTAATCTTAAAGTACTTTCCTGAGAACTGTATTTACAGATGTTGCACAATATGAGCCGTAAAAACACACCAGTATGCAGAAGGGCTTCCTGAGATGATTAGAATGAGGAAACTCTTTAAGACATTTCTTTATATTTGATTTTTGACATTGTTAATACATTTTATCCTTCACACATTTTAATGAAACATGACAGGAAGTTTCATTTTAGCAAACTCCTAAAACTTGCACTACAGAAATAAGCTTTTTCCGGATCTGACAGACAGAAACAAACAGTACATGTGTGTCCAATAGATGTGATTCAAGATGACAACATTTAAAACGCACATTCGATCAGAAAAAGACAAAAGACATGTCCATCCCTTTACAAAAAGGCATGAAAGTCATGTTCTGTACGTCATGAAGAGGATCCAACGGAACGGTTAACTTAGACCGTATTCTAAAATACATGAATATTAAAAGTGAACATTTCTAATTTAAGTGTATAAAAGCTTGTCAGTTGCAGTAGAGGAGAAATAAGGCACAGCAAGTGCCTTATTTCTGAGGAAACTTCCTGAAATTTGGTTGCACAAAAAAAGAAGAAACAGAAAAGTGAAAAGGGTCAGTTCAGAGTCGACACTGGTAGAGAGAAGAGAGCTGGACGACGAGACACAAAGAGGTAACATGGAACTTTTACATTTGTTTTAATAATATACTTTGAGACTGTAAATGGAAGTGACTGAATTGATTTATTCTTCCCCGGTGTATTTAAAGAAAAACACTTTTTTGATATTCTGTGATTTGGTGGTAAAGTAAGTTTGATGGGTGCTGAAGAAACATGTTTATGATGTGTAGGATGAAATAGATGCCGTACTTTAAACAATTGATGAATTTAGTTAATGTTTAGGTGGATCATAGCTGATGTTGTTATAAAGATGATTAGAATGTATTCTATTACAAGTATAAAGGACGTATCAAAAGCAACGCTTTCCCATAAAAAAATCTCAGGGTAGTCGCACCCCTTGGGCAGAAGTTGTTAAACTTGCAACTACAGAATAACTGATCATGCAACATCCTGTTTTTAGGGCTGTGATGTCAGCTGTGGACTTCCCGTTTGTTCCGTTCCTGCACGTTTACTGCGCCTTCACAGTGAAATCTGTTCTGTAGAGGGAGTGACTGACAGTCCCAACAATCAAATCAGGATGTTTGTTCTCATGTGGTCGACTCTGCTTTTCTCTGTGTGGGGCAGCAATGCAGACGTAGGTATGTGTCTTTTTCATATGCATATAACAACAACAACAAAACGGCAACAATATCTCTTTTTTTGTCTTGGCATGTTTTTGATGTATTGTGAAAAGTGAATTAATTTCTTTTTTTTTTACCAAAGAATGAATGTATCAATGTTAAAGGCTGACTAACTCTGCTGTTAAATTTTACTTGACACTTTTTTAATTCTTTAATTTATTTTGATAATTTGTTTACTAAAGAAATTAAACTAATTGGCTTGTTGTGCTGTTTCCAATTGTTGTTGCTTAGCAATCAGCAGTTATATACAACAAAAACAGTTGATAAACTATTGGTCAGAAGTAGCAGCATTTTCTCAGTTTGTATTTGATATTTCTGAAGTTGAAATATTCTGAGTTGCACCCTGTTTGCATCCACAGGTACATCATTGGAAAGAAGAGAGTTCTGTCAGGGTGACTTCTGTATCACTCTGATTGATGGACAAATAACAGCAGAGGCTGGACTCTGTGTCGTGATCCCGTGTTCTTTTACTATTAGTTATTGGTTCAGTCTCAAAGGTCTCGTTTGGTTCAAATGTGAAACTGTTCAAAGATGTGGTGATTCAGACGTGATATTGAGCAGGAACAACCAAAAGATTCAGCCTGGGTTCAAAGGTCGAGTGTCACTGTTGGAGCCTAACCTTTCTCAGAGGAACTGCAGCATCATCATCAACGACCTCACTGCATCAGACTCTGGATCGTATCAGCTCAAAGTTAATCTTTTCACGTCTCGTGGGGGACAAGATAAATTTCAATATCTACAAAGAGCAACTGTCTTAGTTAAAGGTATGGAGGGCTACACAAACATACAGTTAATATGTTAACTTCTGTACCTTTAAACTGCAATGACAAGTTTAGAGTGTTTATATTCTCTGTGGAGCCCACAGTAATTATTGACATTTGTCGACCTTTGTTGGCAACCTGTAGGAGCTGCAGCTGTTCCTAATATATCTCTTACATATACATTTTAACTTTTTAGTATCTTAAGTTTATTTTGTCCACATTTTAATGGCTCTGGAGTTTTAGTTTGCTCACCTGATTTTTCTTACGGATTTCTCCTCCATCAGATCTGACCCAGAAGCCCACATTGATGATTCCTCCTCTGACAGAGGGGCTGCAGAGCACACTGACCTGCACTGCTCCTGGTCTCTGCTCTGGATCTGCTCCTGAGATCACCTGGATGTGGAGAGGAGGAGGAGGAGAGAATGACTCCCACATCACAGGAAACATCACTGATTTCAAGACTGAGACTCTGACTGATGTGGACAAAGACACAGCTCAACTTTGAGCTTTACACCCTCTGCTAAACACCATGGCACCAACATCACCTGTAAGGTGGGCTTCACAGGTGGGACAACCGCAGAGGAGACGGTGACTCTCAATGTGACCTGTGAGTACTTTGTTTACTTTTTTCTCGGATTTGCTCAGTGTTACATTTACATTGTATAGACGCTGTGTGTATTTCTGTCTCACAGATGTGAAGGAAGTTGAAATCACTGGAAACACGAGTGTGAGGGAGGGTGAGCTGCTTCAACTGACCTGCAGTGTTGAAAGTTTCCCTCCATCTCTTGTCACATGGACAAAAATGTCGACCAAAGACATTAAAAGTGGATCAAAACCAGATGTGCAAAATGACACTTTAGCTAACCCAGAGAACACAACTGAAATCTACCTACTGAGTGGAAATGGACAGGTGACTTTTTCCATCACCAAAGTGACCGCCAAAGATTCTGGACAGTACATCTGCACAGCAAATCATTCAAACATCACCCAGATGGAAAAAGTTGACATTGAAGTGATATGTAAGTGTAAACCAAAGTATCATTTTCCTCCTTTTCATCATTAGATACATGACACCAGGTGTTTACAGCAGAAAACAGCCTGAATGACTTCCACAGCCCCAACACCTCCAGACGTACAGGAGGCTTTTTAACATACAATGTTCAATATTTTTAAATGTGACTACAGACTTACTCTCTGATGTACGTCGCTTTGGATAAAAGCGTCTGCTAAGTGAATTGTACGGGTGATCAGCATTGATTCACTGCCATGACTTTAGTGTTTCATTAAAATAGGAATTAAGTCTTTACAGCGATGGAGGCTTTTGGAAAACTGACTGTTCTTTTTAAGTCTTCCTGGAGCCAAATGTTTAGAATAATAAAAGTTGTTGTGTGTTTCAGATAATGAGGAGGGAATTTGAAAATGTTTTGAATTTAGTGCCATCTAGTGGCAATATCAAGAATTTCCCAGAGTAGATGCACCAATCTTAAGACATGGTCTATTTCATATTAAAATGTATGTAGTGTTCATCACAATCCAAAGATGTCCCCCCATTATACATACACTTCTGCTTATCTGCAGATGAAAAATACAATATTGGTGCCTTTTTCTATTTCAGTAGGAGTCTACAGTCACAGCACATTTTCAAGAAATTCAGTTACACAGCTGGACTTATTGTGTTTACATGGTCTTTAAGTATTGTGTGCTGTGACAAGCTACATAGATGATGACTTTGTCTTTTAATGTGATATGTATACTCACAGGCTTATTCAGTTGTTACCGGTCTGTTGTTTCCTACCTCTTATTTGTTTAAATCTTTCTTCACAGATATGAAAACACCTGTGATCACTGGGAATACAAATCTTACTAAAAGTCAAACTCTGAATCTGACCTGCAGTTTTGAACGTTTTCCTCCGTCCCATATCACGTGGTCTTTACCTGGTTCCAACACTTTCCTGCTGAATGGCACTGGATCAGCGACACTTGTCATCCCTAATGTTAGGGTGGACAACTTTGGAAGGTACATCTGTACAGCAAAACACCTGGACATGACTGTCACTTTGTTTACTGATGTGACTTGTAAGTAGACATTATTATCTTCTTTAAAAAAATGTAAAATGATAAATTACACCATCAGCAGTTTTTTTTTTATTTTTTTTTATGATTTTCTGTGTGTGTGTTTACAGTGTTTCCAAGCATCTTTGAAAACTCAGGATGTGAGTTTCAGTCGGGGCTCTTGACTTGTGTCTGTATCAGTGAGGGTTTTCCTTTACCCACTATCAGATGGCCGCTGTTAAGGAGCCGTACTGAGTACTCTGTCATGACATCTGTGACAAATCACACTGTCACCAGCACCATCACACTTAATGTAGATGACTACAGCAACACTTTAGCTGAGTGTGTCAGCAGCAATGAAAATGGGGAAGCAAAAGAAAACCTCACCATTGAGATGACCATGCCAGCTAAAAAAGGTGCAGCTTCTTGATTTAACCACTTCTGCTCCTAGAGACTACAGACTGCTTTGACCAATGCATTTGGAAAACTACAATTCATACTGTTAAAATTCAGTTTCATAGATACATTCGCACAAATTAAATTAGACAATTACAATTTCTCTTTTGTCTCTCTTGACTGCAGATGGATCCAGGGTGTTAAAAATGTTTTCACGGTTGGAGGTTATCGTTGCCTTTTTGATTGGTGCACTTCTTTCAGCCGTCTTCTGCTTTTTAGCAACCAAATGCCACAGGTGCACCATTAATACTAACAAATCATTTTGATTTGGTTTTGTATATGGATGGTTGTCAAATATAGATAAAACATGTTTGCTTTTTCTTCTTCTAGAAAAAGACAGAATAGCTCTGGAAATCTGGATAAGACTTTGGAAATGGTGACCAGTCAAGAGGATCCGCTGGTAATAAATGTTCATACAGCGATTATATTTAGAAGTTAAAACCTACGTTTTCTTCAGATTGCATGATGTGGATAGATAAGTGATGTGGCTACTACGACCTTTTAATCAATAATTTACTGACTTGACCATGAAGAGGGGAGTGGTTACACTGTGAGGTTTAGCAAAAAAAAATCCCCTACTAGCAACATGACTTTAGTTAATTTAACAATATGAAAAACAGCTGTCATTGATAACACAGCTCTCTCCAATCTTAACATGTTTGTTTAAAAGCCCTCCCTCCAGTCCCACATGTACGCTGACATATTTCCTTTCTTAATTCAGTCAAACACCACACTCAGTTAAAAACGTAATTTCCAAACAAACAAAAATAAAAGGTTTGGGTCCTTGTGATTGGTCTTGTACATATTTGGTTATATATTCCTCGAGAAGATCAAGGCCCAGCTCTTCAAAAGTAATCCAACAGTATTAAAGCTATCAGATAGAATGAAGTTTTGATATCGTGTTGTTAAAAAACAAACAAGAGGATTGCGTAATTGGGATGGGGTAGATAGGATCATATAATCCATTTCTGGTTTTAATCCAGATAAAACCTCCAGTTGGTGATGTTCAAAAGTTTTGTGTAGGATAAAATCCCAAAAATCAGGATCACCCTGATCCCATCAGAGATCTGATTGAGGCTGGATTACACATTACAGAAAACTATTAAATTAAATTACTGGAAATATGATAGTTTAAGACCTTTTTGAGATAAGGTACAAATTAGGGTTGCATAACACTGAATGATTTTTCTTTCTAAAATATTTCACCAAAAAAGATCATCATCAAACATTTGATGTCTAATTTAAAGCAGCTTTTAGGATCGTTTAGTCTTTTATGGGCCATGGTGGTTCAGTGGTTAGTGCTGTTGCCTCACAGCGAGGACTTTCCTGGTTCAAATCCCTCTTGGAAAAACCACCTGTGTGGAGTTTGCTTGTTCTCCTTGTGCATTCTTAAGTCTCTGTCTCTGTCTGTCGAACTGTCCAGGGTGGACTGTCTTAGTCAGAGTTAGTTTGGTGGTGTGAGGTCATTTTGTGACTTCGGCCCTGTTCACACTTGACTTCTTTTTTCAACTGCCAGCACCTTTTTTACATACAAGCCTATGGAAAAAAGAAAAGGTTGCACATATACATTTTTAAGCCTTTTGTGTTTTGGCCTCTGCATTGCTCTGTGGACAGTAACATATTTTTTAATTTTATCCAATGACACCCTATACCTACTTTATCATACGGCTCTTATTTCTGCTCTATGTTGAAGTCCATCTGTAATAATAGACTGACCAGTAAGGCCTGCAACGTACTTGTTTGAGAATATAAAACAAGTTTCTCCAAAGAGCTATAAGTATTGTATAACTTTAATCAGTAATATTAAAACAACAGAAAGATTGACCATACAAAGATACACAATTTGTTGCTTGTGAATGATGCTTATGAGTTGTATAATTAATGTTGTACCTCACAGATAGATGCAGGTCAAGAAGTGGAAGATGATCAGACCTACGACCAAGAGGTGATGGAAGCAGGAGGAGCTGTGGCAGAGGAGAAAGCAGCCCTTGATCCGGACGGTGGACCAAATGACGTGGAGTACGCCAGCATTGATTTCTCTGTGTTGAAAAGGAGCGCTGCAAAAAAGCGAGAGACCACTGAGACAGAATACGCTGAAATAAAGAAAGACGTAAAAGAGCAAAGAGAAGATCAAAGCGGAGGAGAAGGTGAAGTGATGGAGGACAAAGAGGAAGAGATGATGATAGGGGAGGATGAGGAGACAAAAAACTGTGTTCCAGAAGAGGAGGAGGGAGAGGATGAAGCAGTGTACTCCAATGTGAAGGATGTAATGGATGAGATTTGAGGACCATGTTGCATTTTAAAGTTGCTTGACGTAAGTTCTCTGGATCTGAGCTTCAAATGCCAAATTCAGGCCATAAGGAACTGTAATAATCGACACACCTCATCATATGGACCTTGCAAATCAATTCATTCATGTATCACTTATTTGGAAATTTTGTACAGTTGAGAAGTGCAAGGAAGACAAAAGAGTACTGCCTCTCTTGATGAGTTCTCATTTAACACTTATCATAGATGATGTCATGTCTTTCTAGGGTTCTTCTGGTCTATCCAAAGCTCTTCTCCATTTACTCGGAAAAAATGGACCCTCATTTTTACCCTTTGCAGCCAGGTGGTGTCAGTGTTTCAGAGGTTCATTTGGGATCTTTCAGATCAATTTGACCAAAATCTTTTTTAAAGGCCTGTGTAGAATGGCCATGCTTTCAAACCATTTGTAATAAATGGAGAACTGCAGATAGACAAACTAAGTTATTGCTAATAAGCCCTCTTTTTTATCACAATTCATATTGCTTTTGCAATATTGAACAATGCTGTTTTGTGTCACATTTTTCTCATATTGAGTAGGCCTCAATGCCTCCCAACAATCTACATGCTAGCATCAGTGAGCATCTAGCATGCTGACCTTTCAACTTCAACTGTATTGTCCCCAAGGGGAAATTTTCTTTACAGCCAGGTGAAACAGGAAACACATATAGAAACACAACTAAGACACACAAGCTGTCGGTCTCTACAAGAGCAGTGTCCCAAATTAGCTCACAGCACTGCCGCACTTCATAAGACAGTAGTGTGTTGTTTCAGTTTCTTTGATGGAGTCTACAG